ACTTGTTAATGTAACTTGATGAATAAGGGGTCTAATGTATAGTAAGTACTCAATAAATAATAATTACTGTTATAATTTCTAAAGGGACATGTAGCAAACCGGTCTCCAAATGCAATAAAAACTCTACAGAAAGCTTATTATAGGAGTACCTGGGTGGCTCAGTCGGTTGAGTATCCAACTTCAGCTCAGGCCATGATCTCACAGTTCATGAGTCTGAGCCCCACGTCGGGCTCTGTGCGGACAACTCAGAGCCTGAAGCCTCCTTCAGATTCTGTGTCTGCCTCTCTCTCTCTGCCCCTCCCCTGCTCACACTCTGTTTCTCTCTCTCAAAAATAAATAAAAATGTTTTTTAAAAAAGTTAATTATAACACATTCGACTCTACAGCCACCCAAAGTACTCCCTCGGAACTCTCCAAGGACTCCCAGAAGAAGATTAAGCCGAAATCCCCACTAACATGAAGAGCAGGACCAGTAAGATCTGCAAAGTCACCTGGAGCCCAGTTGGTAGTTAATTTCCAGCTGAGCCGTTGCTAGCCCCGCCTAGAGGCCACTTGATTTACTACTGCACCAGGACTGAACTTGGCGACCAGGGGCTCTGCTCCGTTATCCTCAGCCCCCTTTGCAGGCAGCCTCGAGAGCTTCACCCAGTTATATCAGGAAGCCCTGGTAGAAGAAATCCACGTGCCCCAGAGATGATGCAATTCTACACCCGCCAGTCTCGGAGACCCCCTGAGCATCCTCAAGAAGGAACTTGGCATGAGTTCATTCTCCTTCCCAGGAGAAAAGAGAGCAGGAAGAAAGAACCCGGAAGGGCAGTCCTTCCTGTCCCCTGGGAAGATGCCGAAGTTCCTTCCCATTTGCTTCTCAGGTCTGCCAATCCCACAGCAAGTTCAGCCCCACCCTTCTTGCCAGCACTAAGGCCAGCAGCCTCTTCTTCGCCTGTGATTAGATCTCTGGGATATGTCCACCTAGCGCGGACCCGGGGTAACCTCAGGTCCCATCTCTGTAGCTTTCTAGAATGGGGCTTCGCTCTGCAGATGGGTTTTGTTTCACATTCTGGGTTTTCTTACACTCAAAAGGGATTCAGCCTGGGAATCGCTGCTATGAGGACAGGAATGAAGGACGCATGCGTTCAGCTACGACGTCAGTCCCCCCTTCTCCCTTACAAAGCACCTCTACTTCCTCCCAGATCAAAGACCTGATGAAACACTAAGAGTGGGCACACACAGTACACAGAAAATCCCAAATTTCATGGCATATGTGCCTTTCCAGATGACTGCATGGATACACTCTATAACACATTGTTAAAGTGATAATTAGCGATAGACTTGTTATGAATATTCCAAATAAAATTTCTCTCTACCACAGTTGATGGAGACAAAGGGCAGCACGTGAAATGGAAGAAGTAGTCGAAGGGTTTATGTATACAGTGTATGTTTTAAAAGGGATTGGCGGGGGGGGAGGGGGGGGGAATCACATAACCCAGAAGTTGATTTCAACAAATTAAGCCTCTCAGAATCCATTTTCAACTGCAGGTGCATGAGTATGGATATTTTTCCCACCATGCTGAGGGAACATAGCGCCTCCATTAGAAAAACAACACAACAAAACTCCAGGGAGGGAAGAGAAACACAGTTCTGGAAGCCACTCATCTGTTGCCCTGTTTAACAGCACCTAAGGATGCTAAAGGTGGGCAATTTAAGAAAAGCCAGAGGAAGCACTGAGAAAGGGGCAAGTGAGTAACTACAACCAAGGTGACTCACACTTAAGGAGTAAAAGAGAAAAGCCTTCTATTGTGTTTAGCATTTTCCTCCTCCGTGAATTTGCTGAAGGCTCCAACTCTGCCCCCACAACCTCTTACGCGCATTCCGATTTTTAAATTCACAGTGATTTTGCTCCACATGGAGCCACGGTGATGCCAATGGCACACTTCCTCTCCTCCCCTCACTGCCTCACTCACCAGGGCAGATGAAAGACTCCAGGCATACAAACTGACTGAGATGGAAGAGGGGAGCGCACTGCTGAAGCCAAAGAAAGAACAAAAGAAGGAGCCCCAGATCCCACCACGGCCGTGTCCACACAGGCTGAGAATCAGGGCGGCTCAGGGGCATGGAGGAAAGAGGCCCTTCTAGGGCTTTAAGGGAACAGGGACAGGAATGCCATTAGCCGTGTGGCAGTGTCTCCTTGGTTATCACCAGGGATTGGGGACTTGCTCAGATGGAATATTCTACTTTAAGGGTGAAGCTGAGCTCTTCTAGTCCAAGAGGGAAAATGGGTGGCAGCACATATGAGCATGTGCACAGAGCCCTCTGCAGGCAGAATAGCCCTTGTAGGGTTACCAGACACCGCCAGACACCACTTCTTATCCTAGCTGGTGACGGAGTCCGAGAGCAGCCCTAAAGCCGTCTATGTACACCCCCTTCGACTGCTAAATGAGGAAACCGAGGACCAGAGAGGATGAATGACGTGGCCAATACAAAAAGCTCAGGGCCCCCAAGCCTCAGTCTTGCTTTTTCTATTACAACTATGCTACTTCTCCCCGACCCTTTTCCTTAGTTGGACTAAATTAACATCCAAGCCACAGAATTATCCTTGGGAGGAGTGAAATAAAACATTAGGATCAAAATTTAGAGAAAGGGAAAGCTAATGTTAGGGCAGAATAATCTCAGCCCTGAAGACAGGACACACCCACCTGACCCTGGCTTCTTCAGGACCTGAGGAAGGTGGCCTTAGTGTAGAGGTCACCAGGAGTAGACGAGGCAGGGGTGAGGTCACCAGGAGTAGACTACATGGAGGTGAGGGGTGGAGGGGTAGCTGCCAACAGCCTCCAGGCCTCACACTTTGGCCATAGGGCCTTTGCACTGCCTCCTCCTTCTGTGGATGCTCCTTCCCCAAATATCCAGAGTTCACTCTCTTACCTCCTTTAATCTACTCATATGTCCCCTTCTCAATGAAACCTACCCTGACCACTCTTTCTCCAACATCCTACTTAATTTTTCCATAGCACTTACATCATTCTAACAGACTATAATTTAGTTATTATGCTTATGCGCTACTGCCTTCCATTTTTAAACAATACCCATGAGGTTGAGGAATTCTGACTTGGTTCACTCCTGATTCTCCTGGGTCTGGAAAGTATCCTGGCACATGGATAGATGCTCAATAAATACTGCTTGGATAAACTAATGAATGGATGATTGCTTTTTCCTCCCTGCACTGTCTCCCTCAGCAACAACCACCTACTCCCACTCAGACATGCGTGAGCATGGTATATGCACACGCGCACATCCATGCACATGCACACACACGTGCACGCACAGACACCTTTTTGGCCTTTTCTCTCTTCTTCTCCACCTGTACCCTAGGCCTGCCACTAACGTCAACAAGGACAGCTGAGGCTAGACTTAGAACATTCAGTAATAGTATTGCCAATCCCTCCATTAAAAACTCATATTTTATATACCTACATGGTTTTAAATGTATGACAAATTCTGGAAGCATTCACAAGAAACTGATACCCCTGGGTATCTCCAGGGAACTATATAGCCAGGCCATTTAGACTTCCAGTCTCTATGCTCTTACACTATTTAAATTTTGAACAAAGTGAATATAATTAACTATTAAACATGTTTCATTAAAAATAAAAATAGGGAAAAAATTCACAAAACTCCCATATGCCTCTGCTCTAGTCCTCAACACCATCTAAATATAATTTTTTCTGAGTGAAGGTCTCAAATGCCTCCAGCCCTGGGATAAGATGGTGAAATAGGGGGACAGTGCTCCTTGTCTCGAGTTCTCATATTTTCTTAAATGAGATTGTTACTTTCATAATGAATATTTGAAAACGTTTCCATCAAGCAGAAGGACATGAATTAATGCAAGTTTCCCTACATACATAAAACATTGAGACTTTGTTTAAGTCATGAATCCCTTTACCTTTCATTTTGTTTCTTCCCATTTGGATTTCATATTTAACAGATTTCAGAATATGTTGTGTGAGCCGGTGCCAGGGTCCCTGGAGGTACAGAGACAACGCCTTCGAGGAGGGGCCATCCAGTGAGGAGGACCACAAGTAAGTGTCATCGCCTCAAGGGCACACTCAGAAATCACAGGGGTCATGGGCGGGCCAGTGGACTGTGTGTGCTTTCATGTTTTTTTCTGAGACTTTTGGATTGTTCCAAATGTTCTGCCTTGAGGTGTACAACCAAACTTAATTTCTTCCTCTTACTGTGCTAAGGCGTGAGTATGTGTTACTAGTTGTTGGCCTTCTCCACGCTGTGAGTCCACCCAAGGACAGAGCCCCTGCTTAATTTCATCCTTGTCTTCTGAGCCTCCAGCCTGGCACCTTGCAACAGGGGCTGCTCCATAAATGGGCACTGAATGAGTGACTGTTTACAGCATCCAATGGGGAATCATGAGATACACCCCAGCACCAATCCAGAGAGACAGTGCTCTCTCATTTGCCATCTGCTTACCTTAGCCGTCACGCACGGGTATGCTTTGTTCTAGGCAAGGGGAGGGAGGCCAGAGCTACCCAAGTGGGATACACAAAGTCATCAAAGAAAGGACACACGCGGCCTTCCCAGTGGCCCAGGCACTAATGCACTTGGGTGCCAAGCAATTAATGTTGGCTCCAGACTCCAAGGTCTTTGTAACCTTTACTAATCGTCCTTTGATCTCCTTCTGGGGATTTATTTTAAGGAAATAACTGTATGAAGATTAACTAGAACCCATGTTCATTATTCTTAATGCTGATTAAAATAGAGAAAAATTGGAAACAACCTAAACATTGAACCATATGAGATTAGGTAAATAAAGGATAGTCTATCTCCATAATGGCAATTGCTATAGATTGATGCAACTCATGGCAAAAAAAAAAAAAAAAAAAAAAAAAAATGGGGATATGCATTCTTTGAGCTGTATCCACTTGGCTTTGTTCCCTTATACTAAATGACTTAGCACTCTCATTTTTTGGAAATTACTTTATATTTCTGGTCTCAATTGTCTCTTCTGTAATTAAAGGCATTACTTAATCATTAAAAAAAACCCAGCCTACTGATACAAAAACTAATGTTCATGATAAGGCATTAAATGACAATGAGTGTTACCAAAGAATATATGTTGCATTGAGACACTGCAGTTACATGCATATTACATTTATATGTGCAGTTATACATATGTGTATGCATATATTTCTAGGTGTCTACATATATATACACACACATATGTGTGCAGCTGTGTGTATATAGCATCATATATATATATATATGAAAGGGATCTGGAAGGCTCTTCAACAATCTCAATGCTTGTCTTTTGGGTAAGTAGGATTTGGGGCTGGTTTTTTTCCTCTTTTTCTTTTTGCCTATATTTCTGATGTTTTTATAACAAGGATGTGCTGCTTTTCAATAATGGAAAAAACAACCAAAGTTACTTTTAACATAAGAAAGAAAAGAACAACTGTCCTCAAGGAGGTGAGAGTAAGGGTGTGAGGGTGGAAACAGGGGGGTGGTTGAGGTGAGGGTGAGCCTCCTCGCAAGCTCCCTTCTCCCAGGGCTGAAGCCATGTCCCTGTCACTCCCCAACTTACGAACACATTGGTTCCACCCGACCAGACTTCCTCTCACACATCCAGCCACAGCACATCCACCATATACGTGGTCCTCACCAGGAGGGGCGGGGTCCCCACGGTGCGAGTCTCACCTGGGACAGGGCAGGGGAGGGGAGAAAGGCACCACGGAGCCGGCCAGGAGACACATCTGTCAGAAGTGAACCCCCGTTCACTTAGGAAACAAGAGCGCCACGGACTGGGCACCTTCTGAGAAACAGCAATGTTCAGAGGTGCCTCTAGCCTGAAAGGACCCAGTTTCAGGGAAGACAGTTTCATCCACGATTCGGATGGAAAGAAAGTTAACATTCCCTCAGGGAGAAGGTTAACCAGAGCTGCCAGAGCTGAAACAGCAACAACCTGCTTAAAAAAGTAGAGAGATCTTCAAAGTCCATGAGGAACAGCACCCGGGTAGGATGGGATCCAGTGGCGGGTGGGCTCTTCCCACAACATGCGTTGGCAGAACTGGCTGTGGTTCACTAGACACTCTTCTCGGGGTTGTTCTGAAAGCTCCTGGCCCCGCGCTGCTTCTTCAGCTTCTGTGGCCTTCGCTCCAGCTTGTGCGGTCGGGAAGGAAGAGAGATCCGCCGTGTGTCCTCCATTCGGCGGTCCTGGGCGGAGCTGCTGTGGGGGGCTCTAGCCCACGGCTGGCATCTGTGAACAGGGAGAGCACTTATCACGACCGGCCCCTACCACTCTCCTGCTGTCAGCACGTCAATGATGGGCAGAAATGAGGCAAGCAGCATGGAGCGGGCAGGGGGTGGGACACAGCAGGAGCTCGGGGCGGGGGGTGGGGGGGCAGCGCAAGAGGTTAACAAGGAGCCAGGGCCCATAGAAGGTCAAGAGGAAGGTGGGACAGCCAGAGCAGAGATGAAAGAATTCAGAAAGGGGGGCAGAAGGTGTGAGCAGAGAGGCCAGGCCAGCTTGGGCTGAAGCGCGCATGTTCTCCCCATGCCCTTGTTACCTCCTGCTTGGCCCATCTGCCTCCCATTCTTTGCCTTCTGGCCCAGGAGGGGCCAGCCCAGCCCCACCCCCCAATCCCCACCCAGAACTAACCCTCCTTTAAGCCCTACCAGAGAAACAGACTTACTTCTACCCTTCCTGGACCCGCATGCCTCCATCGCCGGCTCTCCTCGGGGCTCCTGTTGATGGGGGAGCCCTCGCCGCCGGCGTCGGCTTCCTCAGCCTCTGGCAACGCAGTTCAATCTGTGCTTTCAGAGTCTCCTTTCTTCCCATTCTTCAGGAAGCTGTCAGGACGTTTTGTCCCTCGACTGGACAAGATCCAGCAGGAGTGGGCAACGCAGGGCCAAATCCGAGACACCAGACTGAGAGGGACAGGAAGGGGAAACACGGGACAGTCCTGGGTGATTTGGACCATCTGGTCACCTCATTCTAGATTTATAAGTGGACATTTAGACAAGAGACCAAACCGGATCAGAACTCTAAATTCAGTGGACAGCACATCACCAGGTTACTTGTGATTCAGGACCCAAGACCTTGCAACACCACTGATCTTCACAGCACAGGTGCAAGCGGATGTGTCTGCCAAAGATGCCTAACCTCAGGACAGGTTCATGATTTAAACATGTGTAAACGCCAACCATAATCAATGACCTGCTCTCCTTACACCAGCCTCTGCAGAAGCACATCCACTGGTGCCCTCGGTTGAAGCTTCTTATAGGATGGGCACATCCCCTTGCTAACGCTATCCTCCAAGCTGCTGCCCTGAGGTAGTGGGCAGGGACATGATGCCAAGCGGAGGAGCTCAGGCCGGACCCCAGTATGGGCCAGGGGCCTTCCTTCTGCCCTACAGCCACAGGACTCATCGCCAAGCTAAGATGGATAAGCATCTCATGAATACAGCCATTTCTTGTGACCACAAGAATGACTGAAATATAAGAACCCATCACTGGCAGTCCCCAGATCTTAAAAAGGACACATACACTCTATACCAGGGGCTTTCAAACTTTAGTTGCAGAAAAAGTCACCTGGAGGCATTGTTGAAATGCAGACTTTTTGGTGACATCCCCAAGGTTTCTGGGGTAGAGCCTGAGACTGTACATTTCTAACAAGTTCCCAGGTGCTGCTGCTCGTGCCAGTCTGGAGACCACCCTTTGGGAACAACTGGTCTCCATCAAGAGAGGCTCACAGCAGTACCCATCATGGTGAGGATCCGCTACATTACGAATGACTCACTTTCACTTCTGAGGTGGCTCACACCTCACCCAAAGCAGAGGCACAGAAAAGGCTGCAACAAACAATAGGTAGGCATTTGAAGGCATTACCAGGAAAAGAATAAGAAGTGTCCTAGAATCCATCTAATGTAACTCGCTCACTTAATGTAATATTACTCAGTTTAGGGAGGTTAAGTTGTTTGAAGATACAGTGAAACACAGACAATCAGCGTCAGAACCCAAACTAGAAGTCCCAGCAGTACTATATAAAATCCTAAGTGTGGAGTCTTAGAAGACCTCCTGACTTTTGCGGTTTCACGAGCCACAAGGGTTGAGAGTCTGCACAATCAGTGAATTTAGGCTTTTTCTTCCTGTCCTTCACGCCAAAGCACTCATCTTATGCCAAGATCAGTCCCTAGTAAACCACGGAAGTAGCTCCTGATTCTCCAACTGCAAATCCACCGCACGGAATGGAGAACTGGTTTTCTCACAGAACTCCCATTATGCATTGTCGGTCCCAGGATGGGTCCTCCCACTAGGCACAGTGTTGCTGACTCACAGTGATGACGGTCCATGTGATCTCACCACTATCATGAAGATTATTTCCTTAAAATCTGTTTCTGGGTCTCCACCTGGAGCTTTGCCCTTCCTGGCCCCTCTTCCTGGAAAACTGTTCCTTATGTCACCCACATCCTAGCTTCTACGCTTCTTCCTCAAGAGTCTCTCATGAGCACCAACTCAAGCAGATCTCACCCCCGGCGCCTGCCAGTTACTTTCCATCTGCCATACTTCTGCATTTTCTGTACAGCCCCTAGCACTACCTGCAACTTTTTGTTATTTACTTGCTTATTTATTACCACCTGACATTACGATGTGAGCTCCCAGAGGGCAGGACGTAGTCTGTCTTGTTCACCACTGTCACTCCAGCACCTAGAACAGTTCCCGGCACGCGGCAGGCAATCTAGACACATTCGTTGGATGAACAAATGAATGTACAGAAGACTTACACAGAGCATCTCCTTCCAGTGTGTTTTCCAAAGTTGGAATTTGAGGCTTGCCTTCTAATTTCTTGCCCTTTCAACAGTAGGAATTGGACTCCTATGTTTCAACACAATGTGGAAAGAAAATGAACCTTTAGGTGGGCGTTCACAATGACAGGAAGTTCCAGGGATTGGGGGTGGTGCTGAATCTCTCCCCAGCTCTGGTCCCCCTTTCACACAGAGAGGGTGCTGGGGAATCAGGTCTACCTGGTTATAGGATGTGGGAGGCAAATCCTACAGTGAAATGACGAAAAGTTTGAGAGTCAAAAGATTCAGTTTCAAGCCTCAGGCAAGTTGTTTAAATTTCTCTGAGCCTCAGTTTCCTCATCTGTAAAATGGAGGATGTGAAATACTAAAGGCATAAGGTACTTATGAGGATCGAAGAGGTTAGCATTGTAGAAACTCTCTAAACGGTAAAAGACTATAACTTGCTATTAAATGATTAATAAAAAGACCAAGCAGTTTCTGGAGGGAGCCAGATCTGTGAAATTTCTCAGGCTGTGCTGTTCCCTGCTCTGGGCCCTGTCTCAGCTCTACCCACTATGCCAGCGCCCAGGCTGTGTGTGGAAGCCCCCAGCCCAGTGACAGCAGCCCTGGGGCACTGGCACTGGCCACCTTGAGCTGCCCGCAGCGTCACAGCCAGAGTGACGGCCACAGATGGTGCAGACAGAAGGAAGCCCAGGAGAAGACCACTGTGGGAAGCCACAGAAGAGCATGGGGAAAACGGTCAGTGGAACTGAACCAGGGCAAGTGGTAGAAAACTGGCTGAAATCCCTCAATTCCAGGCCAAAATTCTCTGGATAACCCAGAGCTCCCAGAGATGGGGACTTCAGAGAAGCCAAGGTTCCCTCCCACCACGAGGTACTGGCTTCTTGATGTCCTTGTGGGGGAAGGAGGGGTTACATTCCCTCCTTTCCCCCAGGTCTCTTTCCCAACCTTTCATTAACCAGTTTCCCATTAACCAACTTTTTAATTTTTTTTAATGTTTATTTATTTCTGAGAGAGAGAGAGACAGAGAGACAGAGTGTGAGTGGGAGACGGACAGAGAGAGGGAGACACAGAATCTGAAGCAGCCTCCGGGCTGTCAGCACAGAGCCTGATGCGGGGCTCAAACCCACGAATTGTGAGATCGTGACCTGAGCCAAAGTCAGACGCTTAACCGGCTGAGCCACCCAGGTGCCCCTCCATTAACCAAATTTTAATGCGCCAGAAAAAGAGGCTCTTGACCATGAGCTGCCTTCACATTACAGATGTCACCTCCTCTGACCAAATCACTCCTGTCTCCACTCTTCTACCAAGAGTTTGCTCCAGTCAGGTAACTGGTCACTAACCACATACAACTAAGCACACTCTTCAGCACAGAAACCAGTTCCTGCCCTGGAGCAGTATATATACACACACACACACACACACTGTTTGGGGGCACAGAGCTCATCACAACCACCATGAACTGCTCTGTTCACTGTCAGAAAAGAAACACACAGGGTGGGGCATGTGGGTCCTTTTCAGCAGCCGAGTTCTCTTCTGGCTCCTAAATGCTGCACTGATCAGGGCATCTGGATCATGAGCAAGTTCTTTGATTTCTGGCAACGTTATGATGTGATGGGTGCTGGTGGTTGCGCGAATCTGAAAAGCTTCAGTGAGGTGTTGTGCATCAAGGGACTTAATGAAGGGAAGGATTTCAATGTGTAGAAAGGGCAAGAAAGGGAGTTCCAGGTGTGAAAGAGTTGGAAGCTGGTAGAGTTTGAGACACCTATGAATTCTCCAAGGTAAACAGTCTAGAAGCTACAAGTGTCCCCCTGCCCACCCCTCAGCTCTGGGTTGATGATGCCAGTTTGGAAGATACCAGCCTATAAATGATCATGAAAGTGGAAGTGTGCCAGGGAGAGGACCAAGAGAATTCACATATTGAGACTACTGACTTTCAAGGGATATAGAGAGAAAGATGCTGGGGTTGGGGAAGGGAACCATGGAGCCTTATTCAGCCTATCCACTCATTGGGCTTGTGCCCAGGGCCACCCATTCCCCTCTGAGGGTGGAGACAGAACTGCTTTACCTCCCCCACCTTCTTTTGTCTTCCTACTCTCCCTGTGTTCTGGGTTAGGGTCAGGAGGAATAGCAGGACTCTGTTATTCAAGGTAAATCTTGGCAGACAGGTCTGGGACCCACTTACAGGACCACCCCCACTGTCTGGAACAGGCACTGGATGAGGAGTCCACTAAGTGGAAGTGGGTGTGAAGGGCCCCATGGTCTCTGGTTTTGGATTGGGAAAGAACCGGCCATGGAGCATCCCACTGAAGAGAGAACAGGCTCACCCCCACCTCTGCCCAGGTTCACTCACCCCTTCACACTGGACTTCCCTGCTCATTCACCCCTCAGAGGTTCTATGCAGACTAAGCTCTCAGTCTGGGGCCCTTCACAGCTTCATCTTGAAACCTTCTTGCTGCCCTTTCAATGTCTGGTTCCAAACTCACCTTCTCCATGAAGACCTGACTCTGTTCATCAATATCAATCTTTTCCACCCTGTGCTCCCAAAGTGCACTGTTCTCATAGCACTTTCCTGGGACTAATATTACCCATCTGCCTCTTCCACCAGACCATAAAATCCCTCAGATTAGGGTCTGCACCAGGGGCCACAGATTCAAATGAACATGAAATGGGTGAAACCCCTCGTGTGTGGGACATGGATGGTAGTTGTATTGGTGGTGATCGCACAATTGGGAGTCTCTGGATATGTGCTGAATCAGATCCCTCAAGGAGGCGGCTACCCTTGTGGAAAATACCACCACGTCGAAATGTGGGCCAAGATAGCCAGAGCTTCAGATCTGGGGGAAGAAGCCTGGTGTCAGCGTTCTCATGTGAAATCACCCCATCTTTATGCATCAGCAGCAAATTCAAATTTAAGGCACCATGCTGTGAGCCACATAAAATGCATCTGCAGGCCAGGCTGGCTCAAGTGCTACCAGTTTGTAGCCTCTAGATTGATTTCCGCATCCCCAGTTCCTGGCACATCGCAGATACTCAGTAAATGCTTGTTGAAAAGCAAATGAACAAATGAATGAATGGAGAGAAAAGAAGGAGCAGCTGGGCAGGAGAGGGAGAACAGGATGGGTGCCCAAATGTCAAGATGCCAAGTGGTGGGTCGGGCAGCTCTCGGTGACCCCACTGCCAAGCTGTCAGTGTGAACATCGTGGTGGTCCTGCCTGCTGGCTGAATGGGGATGAAACACTGGGGGCCTGTGAACTCAGAGTCGGCAACCAGCTTCTCCGAAAGCACTACGCTAAGAAGCCCTTGCTGCAGCCAAAACATAGATGCTGAAAACAAGCTGATGTGCATATGCTCACGTGAGCAAGGTGTGCAAAAGTGAAGGCTCAGCCTGCCATGGATTCTATGTGCCCAACAAGGTCCACCTTCTGTTGCATATTACAGACATTTTGAGGGAGGCAGGAAGGTTTTGCAATTTGGGGGTGCAGAAGAGAAAGGAAGGAGTCATCCAGCCAGAAATCTCTGTCCCTAGCCAGAAAATACATCTCAGCTGCCCAGCTGACAGCTCGGAAGCTTCGGGGAGGGCACAAGCAAGCTGGCGTGGACCCTCAAGCCTTAGGAACACTGGGAAGGAGGGAGTAGTGTGCAAGTGGCCTGTGTGGAATGCCTGGGACTGCAAAAGAAAAGTTATTTCAGGTTCAACTGAGTTATAATTTATTTTTTTCTAACTGATCATTACTGCTGCCGGCTCTATAAATAACCACCTAGGGAGTCTGCTTTTCTGCTCCCAAATCCTCAAAAAGCATTGCCAGGTTCTCTGTGGTTTCTGGCCTGCCAAGCACACAGCACATTTCTTTTCTGTGCAGCCCTTCAGGGAATCCTTCTGCTGTGCGTGCCAAGGAGTCTGCTGAGCTCTGCCTTCCCCGTCCAATTCCTCTCCCTGAAACAGGCCACCCGGCCCTCCTCCCCCATTCCCAACAGGCCTCACTCCCGGGACATGGGAGGTTCCCAAGCCAAGGCCCCGGCTTCTCTCTGTTTACTCTGCTTCAACCCAACTGCAACCTCGATGCTCCGAAGACATGAGCTATTTGTAGTACAGAAATCCAGCTACAGCATCATTTGAGCTTAAGCCGGGAAAGGAAAGGAGGGTTAGGTTAAGGGTATTGCCAGCAAAATGTCAAGAGTCAATACAACCCCAGGAAGGATGGATGTGGTCTATACAAAATCCATTTAGATTACTTAAAGAAGAGTTGTTCAAGCATGATTCAGTTTAATCAAGTACAAAAAGGGAAAAGCGTATTCTGAAGGGTGTATGCTTATGTGCTTTCTAACCACATGGAGTTTTCTCTCTAAACAGAGGACCTAGAGAGGGGCTGATATTCAGAAAGACACACCATGTGCCAAGAGCTGGGCCTTTCATGCTCATTGTTCTGTTTCATCTTCACACCATGATGGAAGAGTAAGCCCATTTTGCAGATGAGGGATCCAAGAAAAGGGACTTGCTCAAAGTCATGCAGAAAGACAGAAGCAAGAGTGAGATTTAAGCCCAAGTTCACCAGACTCCAGAGCCCACATTCTTCTACTGCTATGCCCTATGGCCTCTCTAGCTAGAAGGCTGAATTTAAAGATATGTCTATTTTTCTAGTTTTCAGATTACTTTTGCAACTTGGAAAGCAAGGACTAGGGTGCCTGGGTGGCTCGGTTGGTTAAGCGTCTGACTCTTGATGTTGGCTCAGGTCATGATCTCACAGTTCATGAGTTCAAGTCCCATGTTGGGCCTGCTTGGGATTCTCTCTCTCCATCTTTCTCTGCCCTTCCCCCCCCCATTCTCTTTTTCTCCCTCTCTCTCTCTCAAAATAAATAAGTAAACATTTAAAAAAGGAGAAAGAAAGCAAGTTGGGTGTTTAACCACAGGTTATTAACAGCCATATTTGAACTCTTCAGAAATTAACCTCTCTAACTAGTCAACTGTGAAATCTGAAATGCTCTCTCTTTCACAATCTTTAGGAAAATTACCATAAGGGCTATGGTCATTTACATTGCTTTAATGGTATAAA